TCCTTGATATGTTTAGTTGAAAAGAGAAAATCTCTAGCGAAAAAAGCAAACAAAGTAACAAAAGCAAAGAAAGTGAAGAAACGAAAAAGAAAGAAGAAGAAGAAAAAAAAAAAMAAGAAACAAACGAAAAAGAAACTCGATCGAGCAAAAAAGAGAAATTCCACCGACAGGGCTCGAACTCAGGACTTTCACTTAAGTAGAAGATGCACCCCCCGGACATACAGAAGAAATAATGAAAATAAAATACTAAAAAGATGGGACGATTCCCCCGAGACATTCTGTGAAGCTGAGGCGTCGAATCGGCTTACGTTACGGTTAGAGATTTCGRCTCTTCCACGCTATCCCGAGTGAACATAAAACTTAGTCTTAACCAAAAGGCCAGGGAGTGAGGGGGTAGCCGCCCACTAGAGCATACCTTTAGCTACCCTCTTAGACCATCGTACTATGAAGACACTGATAGATATCTAATACCTAATCGGGATAGTCTATTCGGTGAAGTTCTATGCTAATATATGACGTCATCACAATTCCTAGGGAGCAGCGAGCCAATCAGAGCTCAGCTCGGGAATTAGTGTTTGCATAATCATTCYTCGGTGGATCATGGATAATAAAAGGGGTGGATTTATTATTACTTGATGGGGGTGGGGATGGGTGCTGGTTTTGTCGCCGAATACCGATCAATGGAATGTGACAGGTTTAGTAGTCGTTTTTGTTTTCGAATTAATCCTACAGGAAAAGGTGTACAGTTCTCAATATCAAACAGATATCACTAGTATGCTGATAAAAATCTCTTGAAATTCCGTAAGTGATTTTCAGACCAGGCAGGTATTAGCTGTTGCCAAAGATTTAGCAATCTTTCGATCGACGGTTTTATTGCAAAACTATAATCATGCGAATGAGAGTAATTTTAACATGAATGTAATACGGCCGATACAGTATAATATAAACATTTTATCGAAGAAAACGTTCGAGAATTTATCATATGAGTTTATAAGTCAACACTGATACAGAAAGATCGATGCCTTTGACTACAGCTAAATTAAAGCACTATAAGGACTCCATGTCGTATATAAAAAATCCTTTTCCGAATCTTTGATCAGACGGATATCTTTATTAGGGCAGGGAAACAGGACGCGCGCCGCGTAAGGCCCCAACGGGAGGAATGATCGCCGTCTGGTTAATAAGCAACGCGTAATGGTTGATCGCCATTTAATGCTTCCAGTTTCGGAATAATACGGAAAGTCAATTTCTTTGGTCCTACTGGGGTYCCATGYCGACTTTCAGTTCGTTCATAATCTTATTTYCAAAGGGRTGAAGATACAGACTCTCATGCAGCCCCTCTTTTACGACTGCTTACGAGGCTAAGAACTGACAAATCACTGAAATTCTTGGTGTGCAACCACGTGATTAGTAATCCCACGAGAAATAAAGAAARAAGCCGCCTATCACCGCGCCGTGCYGAATGACTGAATAAAAGAAACTAATGAGGAATGCTTTGTGATCTTCATCCGACATGGCGGCGATGACGTCACTTGCACGCTAAGAATACACGCACAAGAAAGGCGCTGCGTACTCTTAATAYTCCAAAGAAAGAACTGGTTCCACATTCACACAAGTAATACAGAGTAATAAATTTCACATTTTGCGTTTATTTTGCATATAATATATACCATTTGAGCTTTTGCGGGGCGYGACAATGCTTTTATTGCGTTATATGATCTAAGTTACCACAGCCGTGACAATCACGCAAGACACTTGTGTTAATGATGTGCATGTTATGGGKGTCTGGGTCAAACGGTTTTGCTCTGGGGATTTTTAGGAGAAAACCAGGAATGTACCAGACCCTTCTGAATAATCTAGATTATGAATTATTAAAGCTGTTATAGTGTAATATCTACTCGAACACGTCTTGCGTAGTCAACTTGTCCAGAGGCGTGCTGCTTAGCAACAYTCACGTGAYATAACACGTGATTATTGTTTGTTGTCTTAAAAAAGGTCATGACATCATGACTGTTTATTTAAAAAAAATTTCTCGTAGCAGAAAATAGCAAAATATATATATAAGATAGTTAAGTGAGGACGAGCCAGCTCCATGAACCTTTGCGGGAACAGCCCAGTCTCTCAGCTCAAGCGCTTTGTTACGTATGCTAGTTTTGCAAGGAATGGCGGGAAAAGTGGCGAAGTTAATACAGTTTCTGAAAACCAAAAAAAAAACAATTAGACACGGTTCGTAGATTGAGTGACATCAGCTTAAATCAACAAAAGCAAAGCACATGCCTCACCTCATTGCTGTTGCTGCGGYTGTTGTTGTTGCTGTTGTTGTTGCTGTGGTTGTTGTTGCGAATGTTGTTGTTGCTGTTGAGTATCGGCGGGTGTTAATGTTGTCTGTTCGGTAGTTTGTTGTTGTATAAATGWTGGTTGTTGTTGTTGCTGTTGTTGTTGTTGCTGCTGTGGTTGTTGTTGTGGAGCCGCTGCTATAGCGACTGCTGTAGCTGTACCGGAATGTGGGTTTTGCTGGATTTGGTAAATCTGTGCAAAGTAGCAAAAAAACAAAACATGCTAAACGTCTCCAGGGAAGCAAAGCAATAATAAAATGAATACATTAAAATAAATAACTTTCATGCAAGTGCTCGGTYGTGCATTTTGCCATTTGTTTCATTCATTCCATGTACTCGCTGAATAAACCATGCAGCTTCTCAATCAAGCATGCCTCTACTCATTCCTTCATTTAATCTTCCATAATAATTCACTCATTTATAAAACCCACTCATTCAGACTTAACTTTGCAAATGTCCTAAATCATCACAGCTTCAAAACAATCTAATGTTTTGACAGTCAGAAAGTCAATAAGGTAGAAAATAAATAAGCCAACAATTCAGGCGCATTTMTAAAGCTTAAATTATACTGAGGTGCAGGCAAATATGAAATAATGCCATGCTTTGGAGCTGTAGCCAGACACACTCAATGCACATCAGTAGGTATAAGGGTGGGTTGTAAACAACAACTGTCTTTACTTACTTGTCCACCTGATGTGAAGGTAAACTCAGTRGGTGTTGGTTGTGCTGTATTTTGTTGTGCTTGTTGTTGTTGATCAACCTGTTGATGTTGAGTGACGACAACTTGCTGCTGTTGTTGCTGCAGTTGTTGTTGTTGAAGTTGTTGCTGCTGTAAACGTAGATACTGCATTTGGGCAGGATTGAAATGTATTTGCTGTGGATTTTCAAAAAAAGTCGACTTTTTTAGTAATTTATATACAAACTCAGGGTATATTTTTCGTGGCAGGTCTTTGCTGCTCGATACTTACAGTATACTGAACTTCTCCTTGATCTTGAGTTGTTGTTTGTTGGACCATTTGTGGCTGACTCTACAGATTCAAAAACGAAAACACCCTATAAAGTCTTTCTATAACTGTACATGACTTTGAGATCAATTATTAGTCGAGGTTAAGTATGGGATGGAAACTTAGATGTTTTCTAATGAAGCCTAAGGCTTTTAACAGCCTCACAGACTTTCATAAAACCTTTATACTGTACAACCTTGAGTGAAATTTAATTATTATTTGASAAAATTCATTCAGGAAATATATAGAATAAAAAAACGATAGGGAAAAAAACACAAAACAAAATAATATATACAATCATCGTATTTTTCGTATGTAATCTTAAGCTTTTACAATGGAGAATTGGTGAGTGAATTACATGTGCAGATGTGATTACCAGCATTTACACATTAAACAACATCTCACCGTTGTCATACTAACAATTTGCTGGGCTACACCCTGGGGCACACTGGTAATAATGGCCTGTGATTGAGTTGTTGCATTGGCTGCTGCCGCCGCAGCTGCTGCTGCAACTTGTTGTTGTTGTGGTACTTGTCCAGGAATTGCCTGTGTCTGCTGTGCTTGTTGTCCTTGTTGTTGGTGTTGCATGGATACTGCATGATGTTGTGCAAGTTGTAGGTAGTACTGGACTTGTTCTGGTGCTACAACTGTTTGTCGTATTGATTCCTAGGGGGGACAACATGGTCAATTTTTGCACATTATTTTATGAAACATGTTTTTATTTACCCATTTTTATTAACGAAAACAAATTTCTCTAAAAAAAAATTCCCCCTACATGTTTGCTAAATTGTCTCATAATAGACAGTCCACTGCTGGTTTGCAACTGATGCAATATCAACCATGCTCAAAAAAATGATTTGTCATTATTATTTATTGTTCGAACCATCAGTGTCTGCATTCTTCTTTTGAATTTCTTTGAATTAAGACCAGCAATAGATGTTACAGAGTACAATAGAATATTGTGTACCTGGCGTTTTGGAGGCTTAAGTTCATCTCTTGGGACAATATCAATTAAGAAGTCAAACTGATCAAACTTCGTGATTGCCATGGCAATGTCATTGCGCTGTCAATAAAATATACATTGTGACTGGCAGGTTATACATGTAAATGAAAGAGGAGAAACAGGGAGTCAACTTCTGACAAAGTGAAAACAAAGAGACAGAGAAATCAGAACAGCAAAACATGACTTTCAAAAATGGCAGTAGTTTAAGAATGAGGAKGCTGTCTGTTGTGACCTCGTTTTAGTGCTTCATCCCCAGTTCTTTGGTCAGTGACTGTGACATATTGCACCATTTTTTAAATTCACAAATTGAATTATTTTTATTTTATTTTTTTATTTTATTAGCTTTGCCCCTAGTATGGGCACGGACACCGCAACAGCTTGAGCCAATTACTGCGGACCCTGTACTCTCACACTCACTACCTCTACATTAAGTATTTTAGCACACAACACTCCTCACATGTTGATTTTTACTGAGGGAGGAAAACCGGAGGACCCGGAGAAAAACCCTCGCGGCAAGGGAGAGAACAACACATCAAACAAACTCAAACTCACATATKGTYCGTGCCCAGGAATCGAACCCGGACCACAGCGGTGAGAGGCCAGCAGCTTAACCACTAGACCATCCGTGCCACCCACAATGRTGATGAGGCAAAGATGATTGGCAAAGTATACAATATACAAGTAGGAAAGAAGCAATTTTTGGAAGAATTTGTGAACTGTTAAGGAGATGCTGTACCTGGAGAGTTCTTCTTTTGTTATCTTCTGTATGGATCCATGCCCTTAATGACAATTCGTTGATAAAGATTTGTGCTGCTTTAGCAAATAATACAGGAGCCTGTACAACAAATTGATGTACAATACAAATTATTATTTACACAAAAAAAACTCACACTCCTCCATCAATGTACAAAGTTCTGCAGTCATTAAGGCTTCAACTCTTAACATGTCACACAATCCTGTAGTTTGTGAMAGTGGCTCTTAAAACATTGATCTATCAAAGAACTTACCTCAGCACTGATCATCTGAAATAAAGTAGCAACATSACTAATTAGTAAATGAAGTTAACAGATTTGTATCTTTTATGTTAAAATATTATTTAAGGTACTAGGACTGGCAAAAGTGGGTGTCATTTGAAAAAAAATTATTCAAACTGTATTTACTTTAGACCAAATTGAACTTGATAACTAGCTTGTATATAAAATTGTTTTTTGAAATGTTAATTTAAGAGTGCCAGATTTCACACCTAAGGTGTGAAAACAAGACAGGCATCCTGAAGAACTTTTTTAAAAAAACGTAAATATCTCTTCAAATTTTAACAACATGAGCTTAAAAACAACTTTTTTATAAACTGTTTTTGAACCTTCATGAGAATTAAAGAAGCCGGAGTGAAAGAAAAATATTGTGTTTTTTTCTGGGATGATCGGCGAAATGGGCCGTAAAATTCTAGGGATTTGATACACAGCTTCGGCTTCTTTAATTCATAATATATGATAAATGTTCTAAATCTTTTCCAAATATCAAGCAAAAATATTAAACAGAACGAAAGTTATTAACAGAACGAAAGTTATTAAATTTGAATTAAATCTTATTCTAAACTGACAGAAGTCGCGCAAATCTTCATAAATGCCGACCATTTCGTTCTTCGTGTTGTATTTCAAAACAGCTGACGACTTTGTATTGATTTGAGGACGAACAGTGGTCGAAAAGGCCGAAAATTCATCGGAATCGAATCGTTCCTGTTTTCCCGCGAAAATCTGGATAAACAAATGATGTAATCCATAGCAAGACTACACTGAGCATGCGGAGTTTAAAGTAACACGAGCTCGGACGTTTTGCGACTTAAAGATGATCACTAAAAACATTTAAAATACTCATTGTTTTGATTCTAGACTAAATTTCCAGCTAAATTATATGGAAAATGTCCACTATATTCAAAACTGGAGAATTGTGAGCAGCAAAGAGCGATCTTGTAACTGAATACTCGCGTGTTCCAGGTACTGAACACTGGTACTTTGACCTCTAAAATGATCAAGCTGTGAAGCCGTTATCTTGTGTTTCACAAACAAAGCATCATATTTTCCCRCGAATTCATGCCTGGATACGAAGTTCTGGGTCRTTTTTCTCATAAAAATTCAATGTTTTGACGATTGAAAACATCCCTTAGTTATTATATGTATCGAAAAGAATCTAATTAATGTTAAAAAAGTTGGGTATTTTTTTGAACGCTTTGCCAGTCCTAGTACCTTAAATCTAAGGACTAGCAGCATTCCACATGCTATTGATGATAAAAGTCATACTAGCTTTATTTTTTTAATTGCATTTTGAACATTAGATTTTAAACATGAAACAACTGTTGAATCGTTTATGCTGCAAGTTCTATATAGTGTATTTTACAAATAGGTTATTCATGAATATTAAATGTGAATTATGTTGTATGAACTTCATATAGGCCTAATATTGTATACTAGATAGAAAAAAACCCTGAGCATGCTGATCAATTCATAAAACTACAGTACTGTACTTAAAATGCACAATTGTAAACAAAGTGCTGAACGTAAAGTACACTTGATATAATTACAGTAATATATACTAGTAACCTGATCTAAACTGATTTAATAATCTGAAATTATAGATTAAAAACTGTTGTATATATAAAATGTACCCATTGAATTCCCATAGTACCATACCAACCACTTGTCAAAATGTGAAGTACTTAGATTTAGAACAAAGTGATTATATGTTATCTAAACAATCTTAAGATGTATATTAAAAACTGTACATGTAGTACAGATTGTTGACTGGTCATATTTTCAACCAGTCTATAATGATTAACCTTAATAATTATAATTTCTCTTGGTTCTCATGCTTTAGATACCTTAACTTCTTCATCTTGTTTCATTATTTTCTTGATTCTTGCGAGAGGAAGTTCTTGTATCTTGAAATCTTGCTACAATACCACAAATGAAATATTATTGTGTCATTCAAAACAAAGAATTCACAGATCTTCTTACCTGGCTCATATTACGGATTTCTTGCATTTGTCGTGGCCAAAATGTAGCCAATAGTTGCGCTGCTTCTGACTGACTCTGCTGAGAAATTCAGACAAAATAGTCTTAGTAAAAAGTAATTTTGGTAATAACCATAAACATCAATGTAAAATTTTAGAAATATTCAAACCTGCATTGGTACCAATGGAAGTTATAGAAAAAAAACACGGTTTAGTTTAGAATGTGTGAACAAATGTCCCTATCTGTTAGTTGCAACTAATTTACATACACGTACGGCAGGTTTTTAGTGTAGGATAAATTTAGCACAATAATTATGAAATCTTAAAAGCAATCAGCTGTTCTGTGTCTACCCCTTCTGGAGTTTTTGAAGTCTCTAATGAAACATATTTAATAAACAAAATGCCTTGAAACAAATAGAACGTGGTGTGTTTGTGCATAGACCCTGACCATATTTACAAAATGAAATAAAGAAAACCTTCGATAATTTGCTATAACAAAACAAAAACCCTAGAACAGTGGCTTATATTTCATATAATATTATCATTTGATTATTGCCCCATGCAGGACATGCATAAACAACCCTGAACTTGACCCGAAAATAAATTCATTTATTATCAAATCCTTAACAATATTGCCAAACCTCCCACTTTGTGGCTTGCACCTCCCTTGAAGCGAGAAAAACAACACAACAAAGGTGAAACCCCAGGGAATGAAAACGCTATGTATTTTAGATCAAGAGATTTGTAACAAGACACATTGTCTTATAACACAAAGAAACCTTATTTTTGCCACATAGTACACTATACAATCCAATAATAAATGCAACAATCTTTTTYTACTTATTCTAATTTATATGATTTTAAATGAACATTATAAATTTAAACCATGAAAGAASCATTGCAAAAACATCTTTCATCTATAATCTATAATCTACAACAATTTTGCTTGAATCATACTTCTAAAACTACAATATGCGACCACAAACCAATATATTTCACTTATATCTTGATCTTTCTTCTTTCGATTGAAATAATAATAGTTCTTGCTAATTTTTAGCTATTTCCCAATAGCCTGGGGTTAGATGTGACATTTTTTGTAAATAGCTCAAAAGTGTGCACATGTGTTTTTGAAAGAATAGTGGTCGAATGTACATGCATATATAACTTACACATACATTTTGGTATTATGAGAAGTCTATCATTGCTTAAAACCGACCACATGTACATGTGAACAAAATTTCTATAGTCAGCAAAAATTTAMAGTTTTAGAAACTTTCCAATCATAAAACAATTGCAGAGACACACATTCATAATTAAACATGATAATGGAAAGGTCCTTTCAGTGTCAATTTCTAATAAATGCTAGAGTATCTTATTTACCCTGGCCATTATTAGTCAAATAATGGAGTTCTAGATTTGATTCAAGTTTATGATAACAGATTAGCCATGTGCAGTAATTCACAGTTGGTTTGTTTGGAACACAGCAAGAATTACACCATCGTGATTAACAACCTGAGTGTTATTTCATAAAAACCTATTATAGTGGCTTCTAAAAAAATTTACACGTTTACAACATGAACAAATTTGCCTATTCAGCAAAGGTGTCCATTGCTTTAAAACAAAAATATTCATAAACCCACTGGACAAGAACCTATAATATTAATTACACAAAAGTAAGATTTTATTCAGAATGTTTAGATTGAAAAAGATAATTATTACAATTATTCTAGTATTGTGGTAGACTAAAAGGAATATTACATGTATGTTCAGGATTTTTATCAAGCAGTTCAATGACCTGGGGAAATCAAGGACACAAAGCTAGAGATCTTGTACCTTTGTATCTAAAGACATACAGCCTTACACAAATTTAAATATTTTTTAAAACGTGTGTAATAAAATTTTACTATTTTGAATAAAATCCATAACATTGTCCTTGGCAATCAAAAAGATGTACATGTACAATCCCTAGTATAAAACGAAATTGATAAAAAAATTTGGTCCTTTTTCAAGTAATTTTAGAATGAACTTTCAGTATAAACTCTAAGTTTTCTGGAGATGTTAGCAAGCACTGTATTCATTTACAGTGCAGTAATACAACAGATAGGTGTCCCCTATAAATGTATGTATAAGAAAGTATAAATAATACAGTTTCTTGTAGCTGGTTCAACACCGAACATGACACATTTTCGTTGGAAAATGTACAGGTGTAGTCTTCCAGCTGTTTGTAGCTACATCAGCATGTTTTGACATAAAGGCTTTTACATAAAGATCAAAAAATAAATCCTTGAATCAACATGGAAGCCACAAAATTGATAAAACATTGTTATCATTTAAAAAAATCCTTAATATGCATTTTTGTCAAACACGCTATGCTTTCACAGGCAAACGTAGTCACGAAAGGTCATGTTGCGATCACTGGGAAATATGGTGAAAAGCCTGAAGGCTTTCAGAAAATTAACCTTCTAAATAACAATATTTCTTTATAAACATGTTGTTTCTTTCTGTCGGGATCACAGCTTGAAACAGTAACGTATAAAATGCTAAAACAAGGACTTTGACCACTGAAAAATATTCAACACAAAGTCACGCAAGATGAAAGATGAATGCAGAAAGAAGATCTTCAGCTCGTGCTTTGTGAAAATCTAAAATACTTCGAAATTCGACCGTTCACTGTTTGTTGACAAATTTCTGTGAATTCTGAATATTTAAACGTCAATTAAGATAAAAACACTTACTGACTGTGCGTATACATCCCCCATAGTAGCAGAAGTCTGGCTATTTGATCTAAGATGGAGCAGTGGTCGAACTACACTTTTTTGTGCCCGCTTTTCAAACCACTTCTTCGAACTGTTTACCGCAAGATGGCGTCCCTTTGAGCTGGTCCCAATCTCACTCGTCCATTCCAACGTGGAATGCATGCTGGGTAAAATTTAACCGTGTGAGACTAGTGCACAGTAGCAATCGTCTCCATAAGCTTTCTGTTTCTAAAATCTTTTGAAAATGGATAGTTCTATGGCGATGAAAACATGGGAGCTTGCAAATAACATAGAAACTGTCAGTAGTATTGATGAGATTTTTAAATACGATCGTCAGCAACAGCAAGATTTATTGCAAGCTAAGCCTTGGGTCAACAAGTAAGCCGGTCGGACACGGGAAGAGATTTTTTTCCCACAACCATTCATTTTTTATTTGTTTTTGACTTTGTGATCAAATGYTATTCGTCTAGATAGTAAAAACTTGTCATTTTTATGATTTCAGCCATAATTACTTTAAGAATATCAAGATATCTGCTTTGGCTTTGCTAAAAATGGTAAATCAAAGATGTAATAAAATGAATACAATTTAGCTCATGTAAGCTTAACTTAAGCTTAACTTATTATTCCTATTACTTAACTCAGTCAGCTACAACTGTAGCTATTTCTGCATAGTGACGAACTAGCACAGCCCTTTCAATCATTTAATCTAGTTTAATTTATTGGCCAATATTTAAAACTGTCTGGGTTGATGATAGAATGAGTTGTTGTTGGTGTACTTACCAGGTAATGCATGCAAGGTCAGGAGGCAATTTGGAAGTGATGGGGCTCATGCTAGGCAAAGTAGATGGTACTACCATGATAGTTATGGATGCATTTGCACTACCAGTGGAAGGAACAGAGACAAGGGTTAATGCACAGGCAGCAGCRTATGAATACATGGCAGCCTACATAGAATCAGCTAAGCTGGTAAGTTCTGTCARGGTAGTATCTTGATGTTTTGTATGCCCATACAGATCTCCTTCTCTTATTTTATCACATGACATATGTGCAATAGTACAATGTACATCTTATGAAGAATATTTTATATTGCAAGAAATAAAAAAAATTGTGCTACATAGGTTGGCCGCTTGGAAAATGCTATAGGATGGTACCATAGTCAYCCTGGATATGGATGCTGGCTATCTGGTATTGATGTTGGCACACAGATGGTAAATCAACAATTCCAGGAACCATTTGTAGCTATTGTGGTAAGATATGCTTATATTGAAAAGTTGAATTTTSAAATTTGAAACAAAAGTTTATCTTTTTATATTATTCAAAACAGATTGATCCTACAAGAACTATTTCAGCTGGAAAAGTGAACCTTGGTGCTTTCCGRACATATCCAAAGGTTTGTAAAAGGGAAGATATTCYTGATGTGTTGGCATTGTATTTCCTTTGAATTATGGTTAATATTCTTGATGACTTTCCATAAAGGAGTTCATATCAAGGTTCAGTATCAAGGTTCAATTAATAGTCACTCGTAATGTTTTTGAAAGTTCTCAAATTGCACTCCCCTATTGGGCTTGTGCAATTACAAAGAACTTTCAAAACATTACTCGTGACTATTAATTCCAATAGTACTTAAGGACGTGCGATTTCCTATACAAATACAAGATCACCAATATAATTATGTATTTTATAATAATTCACCGATCCCTTCTTCACATAAATTAATCACCAAGCAATGAGCAGTTTCACAGTGGAATTAAAACTGTCCGAACAACAAACACAAAATTGAATATTTTTACTAAATTCATTAGCTTTTCCTGATGAAAATGAAAAAAAAAAACATATAACACAAGGCAAGTTACATTTTCGCTTGTCTGACATAGCAACAGTAACTATGGAGGTATAGGACAATGAATCAGGACCAGTCAATTAATGTGATGTATTTTATTCACACTTTTTAAGGGATATAAACCTCCAGATGAAGGTCCATCTGAATATCAAACTATTCCTCTCAACAAGATTGAAGACTTTGGTGTSCATTGTAAACAGTAAGTTTGAAAACCTCTCTTTCTACATCCACACATTCATCAACATGATACATCAGACTTTATCACTTTGACTTAGTGTTGGCAAAAGATGGAAATGTCCATGTCTATATTATAATTATCAACTGTTTGACATGTAGATAGATATTTGGGATAATTTTATAAAGTTATAAATATTTATTAGTTATTATTATTATCTAATTTTTTTAATTTGTTCCAAATTTTGTTTCTTGTTAGATACTACTCTTTGGAAGTTTCCTACTTTAAATCATCACTTGATAAAAAGCTTTTAGATCTCTTATGGAACAAATACTGGGTGAACACTCTCTCATCTTCCAGTTTATTAACGGTACATATTTTTGATATTATGTCATTGATACAATCCATATGGCATATTTTTTAAGCCAGTTATACTTGCAAAGTTATGGTGCAATGTGGCATATCTGGTATTTAAGTGAGATCAAACACATTACAGTAAAGGTCTTTTACTATACTATCTAAATAGATAATCATAATCTTGTTTTAGAATGCAGAATACACCAACCAGCAAATAGCAGATTTGTCAGAAAAGCTAGAACAGGCTGAATCACAGGTTAACAGATGTCKATGCACATTGTCTTTGCTTGAATGATTAAATTTACTCCAACAAAAGATTTTCCTAACTATATGACATGAAAGGTATTTTAGAAGTAAAGTACCAATATTCTAATTCACATTCACAGGTTGGTAGACTTGGCAGTTTTTCAATGGATTCTGATAAGAAAGATGAAGGAAAACTAGCAAAAACAACCAAAGACAGGTAAAATGATTGTAATATTTGTTTAAAATGCTGCATTATACAGTATATGAGTGTATGATATTGTGAGACTTAATGTATATATACTGATAAGATCTAATTTTTCTTCAGCTCAAAGACTGCTATTGAAGCTGTTAATGGACTAATGTCTCAGGTGATCAAGAACAGACTTTTCAATCAAGTTGGACTGAAGCAACCTTCACAGTCCTAGCATTGGTATAGAAACACTGCTGMTACACTCATGAATGATGAGCTATTATTTTYCCCACCTTTAACTTCATTTCCCACAATACAAGCAGAGATGTTTTCTACCTTGCTAGGAAGTTTGATAAAGGAAAATCTTTTTCATCGTTTTAAGAAAAGTGGTTAGAATGTATTATTTTGTTGACTTGTTTGCAATTTTGAAATATTTATATAGAGAAGAAATTAAAATAGTTATTACAGCAAACACTCCTTTTTACTGTTCCCTATACTTTTGCCAATACCATCTGACAATGCCTTTCACTGAAGAAGGATTGTGGTAGGCAGTGTGCAATGATAGATACCTCTTGAATGATAATTGTTATTGTTGTACATTATAATCTTGAAAAAATGTAAGAAGTTMTAAAAATATAAACTTTAGAGGTAACACTGTTTTCCTTTGATTGTATTTGTATACAGTACTGTCTAAAAATGGAATATGTAAATTATGATAAAAAAAACATGATATTAAAGAAAAAATTAAAACTAAAACTGATTTATTATCTGCCTCATTTGGAACTACTTGTAGTTTTAGATTTTTGTCATCGTACTATTCATTCAAGCAGCCGAAGATGACTCATTCTTTGATTGGGTCTCCTGTGTTTACATAATACGAGCGGCCGTGGGAACTATAGTTCAAAATGGCGGCCTGCTATGTAAGGAAAAATCTCGATGCTTTGAAGAAACTACCTCGAGTAGCATTAAATAATATTAGAGACATACCAGAAGCATTCATAACGGTAAGAATAAACTTATAATTTTATAAAAATTCCSCTTCAGGTTTGATTGTTTAACGAAAAAAATGTTTTTAAAGCATTTTCAATATGGTAGTCATACAATGTCTCGTGCTATCAAAGATGAGAGCAAAGTTGGCAGGTCAACTTGGCACGCTGTCTATCCAGCCACGAGTTTTCTTGTATGATAGCTTCATGTATGCGGGAATGTAGCTGACCGATGAATTAAGCTTAATTTAATGTTTTTTTTTTTATAAAGCTCCAAGAATAATCATGAAAAGAAAAGTGCATTTGCATTGTGGGGCAGTGAACTTGCCATAAATATAAGCTTAAATGCAAGTGAAGACCTTACAATGATTGTACTAGTTATAGAAATATCCTTTCTGTGACTACCATCTATCAGCTTKAGTTCAAAACCTAAAAGTTAGATTGAAAATAGTCTCTTTCATTTGCATCGAAGCGATGAGACAGCCATTGAGCAAGAGTACCTTCTTTCCAGGGATGTCAACCCCCGAACTTTATATATATGGAGAAATTGCCTYGATTATGTGTATGACATCGCACCATGTGAATGACGTCAGTCTTGRCATCACAAATGACGTCATATTCTGTTTCAACCAATGGGATTTTTAAATTGCATAATCAGTTTATATATTTTTCATGTGCAAGCATACGCAAGCAACGTCTGTAGGTATTTCGTTCCGTACCGAAAGATCGAGGAAATTGCGAAATAATTAATTGAAGGTTTTCTTTGAACATAAAAACTAAAACGATGATTATTAATTAATATCATTCTATGAAAATATCATGCTATCCGGGAGATTTAGGCTTTACATATTTAGATATGGTTAAAACCATTTTTCATATGTATGTTATAGCACCGTCGTAAAGGAAGAGGTCCAGGCTCTGGTAGAGGTAAAACTGCAGGTCGTGGTCATAAAGGACAAGGGCAGAGGACTGGAAAACCCAGACTTGGTTTTGAAGGTGGACAAACACCATTTTACATTAGAGTACCAAAACATGGATTCAAAAACAAGTATGTTTTTAAAATATAGACATTATGATACATAATTCATTTGAAACAATACRAGGTGTATATTTTGAAACGTTGTATGTATCTTTTGTAAAACTCATGAATAATTAATGAGGAAAACACAATAGAAATCACAACCGTGAAGAGTRTTGTAATATTTGATACAAAATTGTCTTGATTTGCATAAACTTCAAATCTAATTTTCTCAGCCAAATTCAATTTTATCTTTAAGTTTTTGGTAGATTATGAATGTATACACCTAAACGTTTCACAAGTAATTTACAACATTCGCRTCCGTGTTGTATGGGCTTTACAATCTCTTCGGCTCGAGATTGTAAAATCCCATGCAACACGRCCGCTCATGTTGTAAACATTACTTATATCTATCGATTTCCATGGCAATTTGTACAAAGGGTGGAAAAGATTATCCACTCTAGATTTTGCATGGATTTTATCTGCTGGCTATATAGGATTTATCTGATGGATAGAGCTATCCGACCATTGTGCAAACAATGATCACATCTGAGCAGCTGGCATGTGAACAGCCAATATAATTGTTTTACTTCTTTTGTAGATTTGAGAAAGTCTACGAGCCACTCAATCTAAACCGACTTCAATACCTAATAGACAGCAAGCGGTTAAATGTTGCAAAGCCAATTACAATGTATCATTTGTGGAAGGCTGGAGCAGTGGGGAAAATACAAGATGGAGTAAAACTTCTTGCAACTGTAAGTTACTAACAAAGCAGGTGGTCCAATAGTCTCCTTCACGGTTCCCTGCGCCATCTTGAAAGGCTGCCGTGCCTTTGCATCGAAGGAAGACGACCGTTGAGCATGCAATGATAGAAACCTTCTTTCACACCTACAGACAATTATTCACAGGTTTCTATCATTGCACGCTCAAMGGYTGTCTCGCTTCGATGTAAAGGCATGGCTACCTTTCAACATGGCGCAGGGAACCGTGAAGGAGACTATAGTGCCCTCTCCTTATGATGATGTCTTTGTATTTGTACATCTCAGTATTGATAAAGTTTGCCAGATGTAGATAAAATTTTCTTGAAAGGCTGCTTGGGATGTGATACAATCCMTGGTGCTGGGGAGGCCTATTGGGCCTCTGTCTGCTAAAGTGGCCTGGCATTCACAGGGTCCAATCAAGGACCTAGGGAATGGAAAGAGACGGCCTTGTAATTACCATAGCAGACCAAGCATTGGGGAAGGAAGTGGTTAATTGTGCCCCATCCCTCTGGTTTACCAGATAATGATTATATTTTATAAACAATCTCCTACTAATAACACCCCCTGATACCATTCTATATCATTGTGTTATATTCATAACTGCTTCATATTTCCAGGGGGATTCATGGTTTAAAGCCACAGTTGATATTGAAGTAAGCAAGGCATCCAAGACAGCAATAGAGGCCATTGAACGACAAGGTGGTAAAATAAMGTGTGCCCATTATAACAAACTGGGGTTAAGAGTTTTATTGAAACCTGAAAAATTTGAAGGAAGACTTGTGCCAAGACGAGCTCAACCACCATCAAAATTAATGCCATACTATACAAGTATTGAAAACCGTGGATATCTCGCTGATCAGGACGAATTAGAGGAAGCAAGACTAAAAACATTTAAGAAATTCAACCAAGAAGAAGAAGTAGATTAAATAAAGTCAGTCATCTGTACAAAGTGTCATCAAAAATACAAAAAACATACATTGCTTGTGGCTCTTATAATGCTAAATCTAACTGGAGTAGAGTTCATTTATTGTTGCTTGATCCACCAGATGTTCAATTTTAACAAGAAGGGGGGGTGTGTGTGTGTGTGCATTATCCACACCATGCACACTACATACTACCACCATATTTCTACATTTATTGCCCAGATGTTCGCCTGCTGGGCAGCCGGAATTCCTAGATGGTCCCGGTATTTTGAAAGGAAATCCCGTGATGCAACATAGTCTACCTATACTATGATCACCTGTGGTAAGGTTGTCCGTAAAACCGCGGCACTTTAAGAAGGATTTTCGTTTGACCGTGAAAGAGATGACAAAGTAATTCTTGGCAAGAACCACTTTCAGTTCTTTTGATACAGTGTACCAATAAGTACAAATTTTTTTCGGCTCAGTTCATGGTTAAGAGTGAAAATTACTCTAAAACAACTAGAAAGTACTGACTKAATTTTGTCAGTCGATTTCCAGTTGGGTTTTTTCGTCTGTGTTCTATTAGTATCTTGCTAGGCTATTCTCTGTAGCTGATTTCCTACCGCCTTTGGTGTGCGTTGACAGAATAACGTGGGCTACACAAGCAAACCAGAAATGGCTGCATGTCATTGAAACACAAGATCTATTCATGGACATGAGTTTTCGATTAGAAATATCCATAGATCAGGTGTTTCTATGCAGGAGAGTTGGATTTGTCTCTGCAGGGCTCAGACATTCAAAACGAATGTAAAACTAATTGAAAGGACACGATGAAATCTTTCACTTGAAAAAAAAAAAAAAACGTGAGAACGCTGTACAATTTAAATAAAATTTTGGAATTGAAGTGATATTGCGCGTTGGTTGTTCTACACGGCTTAATTGCACGAGATAARGTTTTCTTCCCGCAATAGCAACTTAGTTTTATTTTTTGTTTCATATCGGCAAAGACCGTGATAAAGTACGAGTCGGTTGTGTTATAATAATGTATTTTCTTTCTTTTAATCGCGCTCGTGTTTTATTTCCTTCATCATCTGTGCCAATGTGAATCTTCACATAAAATGTGGCCTCCAGATTTTCAAAGCAAAGTTGAGCTGTTATTCAGTTTTACGCGTTGCGAAATTGCCAGTGATGTTGACAGAGGAAAATCATCAACCTCCATATTGAACACATTCAGTTTKAGCCGAGTAATTTGCCATTTAATTGTATTTCCAATCTGTTTTAATGCCCTTTGAAACCTACTCTTTCGCACATCTGTTTTCCAGATAGGGCTGTCCGAAATACTTATGTCTCAGTCAAGGAATGAACGTTGCAGGGAACCCAGTAGGACTCTAATCCTCTCACGAACCAGCTGATGGTACAGCAGGGCATAAATCAACTATTGGAAATAACAGTAAGATCTGAAGTTTCAGATCAGTGGAGCTATTTACCATGGTGGCCAAGCGTCAGTCTCCTCTCGCAGTCGTTACTTTGGCTCAGTCAAATATCGGCTATGAGAGGGGACTAGCACGAAGCGGAACACTTAAATGACATTGTTTAGTTTTTAAAGTGTGATACCCCGAAAAGACAAGAAAAACATAAAAAGTAATAGGAAATGAAGTGTGGTACACTGTTGTGTATTTCACGGGCTAAGACTCTTGAGTTCACTCTAAACTAGTACAATTTCACGGGTTTAGCGCTATACTTTATTGCCTCCTTTTTTATATCAACCTTAATGTCATGAGTTTTGGGGGGTCATTTTTTACTCTTTAGACGTTGGACAGAAATATCAGAAATATTTCAAGCTKAATGGTTGGTGGCCTATCTATATAGCACGGTGTTCTGGCATACTTTAAATGCAGCCTGATTTGCGGTTTACATCCAACTGTATCAAGGGTGCYTGTATATTTTTACGGTCGCATCAATTGCGTGACTTGAAGCATTCATCGCTACAGGCGTGATGACAGCAATAGCAATTCATAATACGCTAAAGACAAACAACGTAAAAGGCTTAATTGCCACCAGGTTACACACTTTGAACAAATCTGCCCCATACAGTTACTGCTGACTAMCATCGATRCACCAATACCAAGGCCKTTTAGATATTTACTAAATAAATGTTTAGGATGTTATTGGAGCTCTATTATCATCGATGTACAGGTCCCCTGCGATAAGTAGTCACTATGACCCATCAACACTCACCGAGTGACCCGTAAGGAGAGATAGGTCTAAAATGGTATGATGTTGTTTTAAAAGTCCACCTTTCTCTAACTATACAGTGTGCGTTAACTCAAGCAGATGAAAAATCGATTACACTAATTGTGAAGCTAATAGCTTATAACTGGACTTTCAAATTAGAAATCGATTAAAGCAGACTTGGAGTTTAATTAGGAAACAGACCGCACATGGAAAAATAGTAATACAGAGATGAAGGACTGGACACTAGCAGGCTTGGAACACCGTCTCTACTGATTAGAAAGTCTGTTAAAGCCATCTTGGATGCGCGAAATGACTGAATATTTAAACAGAGCGGTCCACTGTCTCACCAATCTGTTTAACTCTTTAAGCGAGCAATAGGGTGTCTTAGCGAAGTGCTTTAACAGAAGCCACTTGGTTGAAGATGGATTGAACGGGACATGAAATAACATGCTTTTCGTGGCTATTTTTTAAGTCAATAACGAAACTTCAGCGTTTTGACAAATAACAGACAAAATATTTTATGTCAAAAAAAGATGAGAATAGAATGGTATTTCAAATAGATAGTCGAATGGTATTTACATTTAGTTGGGTAATTAATCTATCGCGTCCCATTATTTCTGGTCCGATCCATGGGGGTATTGTTTGACGATTCCGCTAATCATAACTGATCTATTCTCTATGTGTGCTAGCAAATACGATGATAACATTCCCAAATGTACCAGCTAATGATATATCAGGAGATACTGTGCTCCTATAACGTAGCGCACTACATGGTGCCAAGTCAGTGAAAAACTGAAATGGGATTTAAAAATGGAATAAATATTCCATTATATACTGAGTCAATTCCACCAACAAAACCGTCCAATGTCATGATAGATGTATTCAAGCTGCGGCAGGTTTCTCTAAATCTTGATTCCTTGTCGTCAATAGATGAAAACCAGGATACCAAGTCAAGCCTGAAACACAAAACAACGCGCATTAAAAGATAAGGAATAATGAAAGGAGCTTGGAGCTTCCGTTTAGTTCTTATCAATACCATCCCGAGCTTAAATCATTAAAAGACAACATCTTTATAAAGTCACTTTCTTGTAGACAATGGTTTATCTCTGCAACAAAATGCTCCTAACATCTGGTCAAAGGAAAGGAAAAGTTGCTCGAGTGGTTCCTGTTTTTTCTGTCCTGTCTTGAGATAAGCCGGATCGTAGCCTCAAGAGCCCTTCAGGAGGAAAAAAGACCTTTACCTTTATAAACATAGGAAACGTCAAAAAACACTGCAGTAAAGATCGTAATTGTACAGTACATACATAAACACTGAATTATTTTGCCGTATACTTTGAATTTTTATAAGTTTTATACGTACTTTATTGATATATCAGTCTGTCTTAGATCGTGCCTTAGATACCTCCATACTTAATGGATCATAAATACCACGTTTCCTTTGTGTGCAGGCAAACGTTTCCTTTGTGTGCAGGCAAAATCCATACTTTATTTTCACCGACATCTTGACTTGTTCAAACAACTTTTTACTGATTACAATAGCTGACTTGGTTTAACAATAAACTGAACTAAAAGATCATGAATAAAATCAAATATAACTAAAATATATTTTGACATATATCCTGATAATCTGTAAAAAAGATTTATCAATATTTTTAAATTTTTGTAAAGAAAACGAGGCTATATATTCAAAAAAACGTACAATCATTACGCACATTTGCATGTTTTCGCAAACATTTACCGAAGTTGACTTGGTTGTCATCTCAAAATGAGCATCGGAATTTTAGCATAATTTAGGTCAGACTTCGACTTTTTTAGGTCAGACTTTAAACATTTTAACTTGTTGCTAGTGTTAAACATATAACAGGGTTTTCTATAATTATTAGCATTATATTTATTTAATTTTTTTAGAAATAGTTCTTACCTTATCCAGWGTTTTATTTAGAGAAATTGAAGTAAGAGGTCGTCTTGTGGATCGGTTGTTTGTAGGTGGCAACACAGTCCGTAACGATGACTGCGACTCAAGAGCGTTCTGAAGGTCTTGGATATAATCAATGACGTACTCTAGGATCTCAACGCGAGTGAGTTGTCGTCCTGTTGGGATACAAGGCACCATATTCCTCAACATCTCGTAGTAGGCGCTCATAGGAAYGTTTTGTGCATCGTCCAGTACTCGGCGATGTGCTATACTKGTAGCAGATCGCAAAGTTTCTCTTAAGGAATCTTCTAGTTTTGAGTGAGACGGCTTTGACGTTGGTTTCATGGTGAACAGACTGAGTTGTGCTCCAAGCCGGTTGAGGTATTTTATCCTTGACTGCAGCTGTGTACACTTGGTGACATACCTTGACCAATCACACACGATCTACTCGCCGTCTGGCAAACAACTTTTCAAACTAACACTGACGATTGTACAGTGTCAATAACACCCAATGAGGCACGACATTCCTGTAGAAACCCACTCACGGCAGACTAGCAGTTAGTTTTAATGGTCCATTTGCTATTTTTAGTGTTGCCTACAATACAAAGATTTTGGCATTCTTTAATTGTAACTGAAGTCTTTTTGTCAATAAAGCATTCAGGATCTGTGACAAACACGTCGATTACCCGCCAAAAACTGACGCGTCCAAACAGTATTTTCGCGCCAAAACAGTCACTGATAGTTAGCCATAACATTACATTGGTAAAAAAACAGAAAAAAGTAGATTTAAATATCTTAGCCTTAGCACAAATTGTACCGTATTTCAAGAATCGAATAAAATAATATTGCACTGGACATTGCGAATAATGCGGTTTTGCGGGCATGTCATAGTAGACTATGGTAAAAGCTACCCTGATCATCCTGACCAGCGGTGGGAGTAGCATAAGCCTTTTGGCAGATGAGCATTAAAATAACATTGCAGCCTGTTTTTGATGCAAGAACACAGGACATCAACTGATGAAGGCTTTGATTTCATCTATAACACGTCAAGAATGCCACTGTGTTGAGCAGACCTAGCATGTCGCCTGGCAAACACTTCTAATCTGGAATTTCAAAGTCTTAATTCCACGTTTTGAGACGTTTGTTAGAAATCTAGTTAAGTCCAATGGCAGTAGAATATATTAATTAAGTCTGGATATTATAAAAATTGATTATCTGATGCAAACTGTTCTGCTTCTTTTCGTTTCAGTGTTTATCAACATCTGGTATTTTAAAGCCGTGAGTAGGCCAGCGGAAACGTAGCGGGTCAGAAAGGCCTGTGGGCTATATATATATACGCTACTAATAGGATCATTGAATACATAAAAACCAGAAAGACAACTGCCGTGAGTTTCGATGTCCTTATCACACTAATATCAATGACTTCTTTGAATATACCACACTCTCATCACTGAAAATCAGCTCAACTCAAGCCTTTGTAGTCAAAAGCTTCCACTTACAAGAAGAGCGATTCATTCACAGATGCCTTTCTACATATTGCAAACACACTTAGGAAATGGACTTTTAATATAAGTACCAGGTCATGAAATTTTAATACCAACAAATTTACCAATATAACTCTACCAACATCGGTAAAGCATTTGGATAATATAGGAAAGAGTTTAAATGTTTAGTGAAGAATTTACAGTTCACATTGGCCGTAAACAAGAAACATACTAAWTGTGTTTTAGCACGGCGCAGAAACTAATTCTCTCAACGGGGAATGCTGTATTGACTCATGCTGGCCGCAGCTGCACCGTAAATCAGAGGCGTGTCCCGATTGATAAAAGAGCCATGTTTCGCGTTTGTTAGTAATTAAGAGTGAACTTTTTTTTCTAAATCCTGACCCAAAGAAACCGACACACCAGARCATTATAATGTCTCCATCGCATGGACACGGACTGTACATTAGACAGTCTTACAGGTCCGGTTAAATGAATTCAAATCTGTTCTAGAACGTTTGATCACAGTGATTAGGGTACATTAAACACAGATTTAGTGGAAAMATTATTCGTYCTGAGTTTCACTGGAGTTGCGTTACGGAATTGTGTTGCACGCTCTTGTCGTTCACAGGTTCACGCCTCCACGATTTATCTACATGAATTGTACCCTCCAAAGASCTCGTAGAAGTCATTCCTACACGCCAGTAGTAAACAGTCTTGTTTTATACTATCACATGGCGTAGATCGTCTGCTTAACAAGCACTTTAAATAATTTATTTATTTAAAATCAAGTCCGTCTCATGCCACCCACTCTTCCTAGAGTTTGATGTAGTTGCCATTTTTAACATTAAAATGTTCTGTTCTGTTTAGAGCTTACGATGACATTTTTCGTTCATCGCATAAACTTAAAGCCCTCTGTTACTTCTTCTATAATGAACAAATGAAAAAAGCACGATATTTGAAGCCCTAAGTATTTTGGCTTGTTAACTCATGACTGAMGCCATTTGCAGTCTGTACTACGGAAGAATCTGATTAGAAAAACTCAACATTTGTCGTAAGTAGATCGGTAACAGGAAACACATGGCCGACACGATGTCTTCTGTTTGTCTTATTTCCAACCCTGTTTGCATAACTTGATTTCCTATCGTAATGAAAATTTGGATTCTTTGGAAAGAACCCTGACACAATTGTCTTCACCTTTCATTGACTTTGATAACCCTTGAAAATACAGCAGTCGACCATCAAACTTACAACGACAGTTAAAATGGCATTTAACAGTAAGAGGAAAATTAAAGTCTTTAAAGATTTGTTTTAAGATTATTTAAAAGCGGGGCAATCCATGTACTCATTTGAAACAGAACAATAATTTGTTCGCACTAAAATACACTGCGCAAAAATCCCTTTTTGACTGAAGATGCAAGAGCTACAGGAACAAATATTAACCGCCATTCCTCGCGATAAAATCTTTTCATTTAGAAATTAACTTTACAACTTTTTAAAGTTGTAAACTAAGTAGCAATAAAAAGGAACCAAATGCAACAAAAAGAATCCTTAGAAAAGGATATAAAGGCAAACATAAAAAAGATGTCAAAACAAACATCAGAAAACATGAAAACTGAAGAGAAAGAAGATAAAAGAATGTCGACCTAATTTCTCATGAACCCCATGAAAATGCCACAGTCCCTACAGCACGAAGTTCGTTTTTTACGATGACTAACAAAAATGAATTGTCGCATGCACAACAAAAGAGAAAAGAGCCAGTTGGAAGGAATGCTCTTGAAATTGTAGACTTCGAGGATTGAAAGACTGGTCTGACAGAATCGTGAAGTTAAAAAACAGATTGTTTAACGAAATGTTATTTACTGTCGATTCGGTAGATTGTCATTCCAACAGTGTTTCTAATGACGAAAATTGGATACTGTCTTCGAAATATCAAAGACATTTAAAATGCTTTAGCTTCTTGTAACTTTAGCCATAACCAAAAACAGAACCTGAGCACTTGTCAAGACAGAGAAGAGACAATATTCTTGTCTTGAGAGTGTAGACTTCAAGGCGGGGCAGACAGAATTTACTGAATGAAAGTTAAAAAACAGAAGTTGAAGTCGTCGGATTTAATACATAAGTAGGAGATAGCCCTTGGCCTTACCTACCGGTATACTGCTTATAATCATTTGTCGACGGCAGCCATGAGCTCCTCATCCATTCACTTGATTTCTATCACCGTCATAGACACAAACATACTATCTGTTTCTGAGCACAAACTAAAGATAACTCAAGAAGAATTGGAAGATACAGCACACCAAACTTAGATTATCACTCTTATGTTAATGCAATGAATATTGAGTGCGTTTTTCGTGTTTGTGCAAAGTCCTCAGATGTAGTTCTGGCTTTTGTCCGCCTTTGTTTCTCTTCGGACGGATTAAGCTGTATTTGTTATGGCATAGCAAAGTGAATGGCACTGCCTGGGGCTTAAGAACTGGAGTACATCACTTTAGCTTATCTTTCCGCTCTTCTCTGTACAAAACAGTGCACGGCAAAACAGGAAAACAGTAGAATGTACAGTTTGGGTCTATATTTAGGCATCAAAGTAATAAAATTAAACAATAATTTCAGCAATTTTGTGATACAAGATACTTTTGAAAAACACACATGAAAACGATGTATAATCGATCTTTGTATGATGGTTATATGAAAAGGGTATGATGACGAAAACGGCGCATTGAGCAATGTAGCGTTTAGTATGTTCAAACACATCTAAAGCAGAAATGGTTCATAACGATCGTTCTTTGAACAGCTTAAATACATGCAAGCCTGTTTTCCCATTGATTTACGACAGACATGATAAACTGACAGACAAAATCAAGTAATTACTCTCGAAATCTGACAAACAAATTGCAGAATGTTCTATTTGTTCTAACCACTCACGTGACCCTCTAAATCAAACACCTTCATCGAAAGAAACTCCAGAAACGAAAAAAGTACCTCATGAAAGCAGAACAAAAATAAGTAATGGAATGAATAATTTCAAAATTAAACTAAAAACGTTTTAAAGTCGTAGACCAACTTTCCATCAATCTTATGTCCTACGGTCATATAAATACCTCAAATAATTAGTACGGAAAACAAAATAGCAAAAAATTCCCATAGACTAAGTTTGATCGCTGTGATTAAAAAAGAGAAATGCCACGCAAGTACGATAATTTTCTTATTTGCTTTACACTGTTTTCCAACCACAACGTGATTTTTCTCCCTTAAACTGTAATTTTAATAATGCATAATTTTAGTAATGCATCAGTCAAATGAAACCACRGTCCGACATCCCCTCCCACTCCCCACCCCCACCCCCCTCCTTCCCCACCCCACAACCCCGGGCATTGACATCTAGAGATGCAATTCCCGGCCGTTGAAGGTCAATAAAAGGCGACTAAACAGATCATTTCCTTTGATTCAGACGTTAATTCCCCCGCCTTACTGTTGATAATGTTTACAGTGCTATAATGCGTTAATGGTCCGGCCTCTCCGGTGCGGTTGGGGGACCAGGGTTTGAATTCACTCATGCATAATTTTAATGTACGATATGGCAGAGAATTTCCATATTTTTGAGAATTTCAGAAAAACGCGCGTTGCAGCTGGATGTTACTAAATTGGATGTTACTAATTTTTTTAGTGTCCCTTAGCCATAAAGTTTAGTTTGAACGATAAATCCACTTAGGAGATAATGTCACGTGACTTGTGCAATTCAAACCGCTGTCCTAAAAATTCTCACATTTTAATTTTGATCTGTGAAATTTACTTTATTGAAAGTACTCTAATAATTAGTGGCTATATGATATATACAATTAAAAATTTATTTAAAATTCGACAATATATAAATTACTATTCGCTTTGTTTGATCATCTAACATCTACTAAAATCACATATGATTTATGCCAACATTACAAAGAATACGAGGCGAAGGGCAGTGCTATGTGTTCTGTGATAGAGTCTGTTGAGTCAAGATACAAACAATGAAAGGTTCAGCTTAATTGCTCATCAGATTACTAGTACTATATTATTTTCAAGGAGTTAAGACCAGTCTCTCTTTCGAATTACTCCTCTGGGTAGACTAACTTTAAAATTCATTTGTTTTCCTCACATTTTGTCTGCTTCTTACGCGGAAGCATTCCCAGAAATCTGGGAAGCGATTTGTGAATGGCTAACAGCAGATTATGTCCCACTAAACAGCCTATTCTTATGGGAGAGACAGGAAGCGAGACAAAAGAAGAAGTTGCTCTACACAAACGAGTAACTTGTAAGAGAGTTAAAACTACTAAGTCATGTTAAATCAAGCCTACTGTACTTCTGATTTTTTGATAAAATGAGTGAGACTGGAGTCCTATTAACCCTTGAAATCTCCAAAGTTTTTCACCGCAAAAAATGATTTCAGTTTTTTAAAGTGAAGTAAAATTCTTGTCCTTTTCGCTAGTAAAAAAAGGTAGTCATGATGCGCACATAATCAAAACTTACCTATGACCCAGGTCTCTGTTACTTTGACAGCACTGACTTTTCTGTTAATATTTCCAATACAAACACCAGCTTTTCTAATAGACGTACACACCTATATTAAGATATCAAGGTTTTAGATATATATAATGTTGGCCTGACATCGCGGAGGGTTGAAAAATAGAATTACGAGTCAAAGTTATTACAGCGAATTCATACAATTGTCTCTTGGACAGCCGTTCTAGATGTTGGTGAAGACCGCAATATTACCAAATAAATTGAATATTCAATACAAATTAATTTTTACAAAATTTCTTTATAAAAGCAAACAAGTCTAAAAGCAAATCGACAAGGTGCAATTCAATCATTGAACTGCAATCATATTGTTAATTCTTGTTAATGCCCCCTAATCCGTAATTTCAGAATAGTAAGTAGCCTGCGTTTCTGATGGTCTGCGGTTGTAGAAGAGAATTGAGAGACCGGAGGCAAGTCACATGAAAAGGTAAGACAGTTCCCTCTTCCCAAGCTTTACGTACCTGTCCACCGCAAAGTGTGATCAGTTTCATCAGATCATCAGCTGGCGGAGAAGTATTCTCACATACGTAAATTGGTTCGACATCTAGGAACAGTTCTTGTTGATAGTCAGGTCCTATGTTAGCTCGCTCTAATCGGCTGAGCTACAAAAATAACGATAGAAATTAACCTAAGCGAATAGCAGTAAACAAAGCGTTACTTTCCAATCACTAACAGCATGAGCAGGACTTCAATCAAAAACAGCAACAACATTATTATTACTATCAACAACAACAACAACAACAACAACAACAAGAGCAACAGCAGCAGCAGCAGCAACAGCAGCACCAACAAACAGTAGTACGATCTGTAGCCAAGAATATAGCACTCAACTATCACAGTAGCTCACCTGAGCTGAGGGGAAGGAATCAGAAAGTTCATAAGGTTCTTCATCAATCCAATAACCTGCCTCTAGAGATTTCATGACCTGGTAAAGAAATGAGAAGATCGGTCCGTGCGATATAAATAAAAGAAGCAATCAAGCCATTATGATCTGATAATGATGAAACAAACAATACATTGCATAAAGATAAAAAAAAAACGCCAAAAAATAACAACTTCATTTACAAACCAAGGGATCAAATGATAAGCAAACACTTTTATGGTACTTTAATAATCATTAAACACTGAMATAACAAGAAATGAGAAATGTCCAGTCACGTTGAGCTCGCATGTAAACTCATACGTACCCATTCTGGCGATACAAGCCAACAACCTTGAGCTATGGCTGTAAGTACGTTAAGAGTTCGTTTAGGTGTACCACTGACAACATGAGTGGTGTCTTGCGATACTTTGTCAGCCACATAGAAGCCACCGAGCTTACGAACAACAGATAAAACTACATCTTGGTCACTGTTAGTAAGGATGGAAAATCAATACACAGTGAAATAAACAAATAACAGACAGACAGACAAAGAAAAATAGAGAAACTAGAAAGAAGAGAGTACTGCAAAAGTTGGTCTTAATATGGTAATGACATCGGTGACAAATGGTCTATACTAATGGCAAAATGATTTCCCGTCATGTCATCACCACGGGACCAAGTTTTGCCGAGACGAAGGTATACTGGGTCTTACCAAAAGTGCATGCTTGTCAGAACAAGGGATCTTGACGGCTTGAAAAAAATGTATTGCAGTTGTTAGAACATGCATAGCTTTTCCTCAAGGTCAAGGTAACTCTGAATGATCTTTTTCTAGATGTACCTAATATTAAGGTTTATCTAATGCCTATTAAAGGTAGGTATAATATTATACAAATAAACAAACTCGTGCCACAGAGAAACGTCTGAACATTTTACACTAAATTGAAACTAGGCAAGATCTAAAGAGAACTAACTCGAAGCTTCTTATCATTCCGCTAGTTCCCCACCCCCTCCCCTCCCTGGTCCCCTTTGCCTTTGACTACTGTAATAAAGTATTGAGCAACAATCTGAAATGCAGATGGTAAATTTTACCTTTTTCATTCTCATAACTTTCTTTCTAGGCTGATTCTTGTTTTTATTCGTTTCAAGTTTAATCTCAGAAGTGTATTGTTCCATATTTTCGTCATGTTCGTTGTCGGTGTGTTCATTGTCGGTCGACGAAGCTTCTTCCCCTTCGCTTTCATTTCCTTTATCATTGCGTATCTTTCTCTTATCAACTTTCTCAGCTTTCTTGCTCTTCCTGCGGTCTTCACTGTCCAACGTTAGCGGATTTTCTTCTTGCTCGTTTTCTCTTAAATTCCTGTTTTCTGATACTGATGCTGTTTTAAGTCCCCTTTTGGTCTTATTAGATGGCGATTCGCCAACAGCTAAATGTTCTGTTTCATAATTCTCGTTAATACTAGTTGTTTTATCTTTCGTTTCTTTTCTATTCCCAATTTTCTTTACTCCTTTTTCAGTAAACTTACTGTGAGGGTCTTCGATTCGCTTGGTTTCACTGCTAGAAGGGAGTGAGTTTTCGAGGTTCGTTTCTGTATCAGATTTAGGGGCAACTTTACTTGACGAATTTGCGAGAGTTGTCTTTTYAAACGGCTTTCTTGGTCTTTGTTTGTTGGAGATCGCTTCATCAATCGATATACCAGAATCTGAGAGAGTTCTATCCGCTCTACCACCTGTCAATCGACCAGCCTCATCTTTGGGATCCTCTTTTTTGTGAAGTGACAGTTTTGCTGTTTGGAAAACCAAAATCATAATATTACTGTAAAGTATGTGTCTCGGTGTCTTGCAGCAATAAAAAGACGAGCTCGGGAAGGAATTTTCTCTCAGTTGGGGATGGGGGTGGGTGGGAACGGAAGTACACAGTCAGGCAACTAATAAAATTACTAAAGTAAAAAAACAACGTGCAAGAATTTATAATACAAAAACTAAGGCACACGAACGATTCCCTTATTCAACACAACATTTTATAAATAATTTTATTGAAGTCCTAACAGACTTAACATAGTAGTAAATTTTGAAAGAAATGCTTATTTACTTACGAGGTGAATTCAATTCATCTTTATGAGATTTGGACCGTGATTTCTTCTTCAAGCGGCTTGTTTTAACCACAGGCTCTTCTTCATTAAAGGTGAAAATGTCCAGCTCATTCAGGATCGAATCAGCTTTCTCTTCTAATTTTGATCCTTTCGAAGTGACTTTCTTGGCTTTACAGAGTGACAAACTATCGCTTTTATCACTGAAGATAAACACATCATTTGAAGAAGAATTACATTTTCCATTTTTACCAGTGCTGACATTACTTGTCCCTTTAGAATAGCTTCGTTTCAGTATACAACCAGTTTCAGGTAAGGCATGACTGTCGTCTTTATCAGTAAACGCAAAAGGGTCGATTTCTTCGGATATTGAGCTTTCTTTCAGCTCGGACTTGTCGTTATTTTTATTCGATAATTCTTCTTTCAAATCATTGTTTATTCTGTTCGTTTTCACTTTCTTTGTGTTGCTTTCTTTGGTTGTATCATCAGATGTAGTGGAAGACAATCTTCGTTTTCGTTTCTTCCTTAGACCAGAATCTACGAATGAATGGGAATGCTAGTACTTTCTCAACAAAAATAGAAAGGAAGAAAGAAAGAGAAAAGTGAGAAAGAACGAAAGAAAAAACAAGCAAAACAACTAGAATTCAGGTACCCTTTTACGTTCTTCTTGATATTTTTAAAACATACATATCCATCACTTATATATGATCAAACTTAAAGGATTTATGGCAGTGTTAGACTTAACTCAACGAGAGAATTCACAATAAAAGCTTAAAGTACCAGTCTGAAGAGTGTCCCGAGGAGCTGCTACAGGACTTGTGGGCGTTTCCATAAATCCTACTCCAGAATATGTACTCTTGTTGCTGTCTTGTGTCGACTCAAATAGGCCCTTTTCAGATGGGTTACCATGAGGTTGAGGAGTTTTAGATGGGAAAAGACAAGGACTTGCCAATGAAGTCTGTCAGAAAGGAAGAGAGCATTCAGTAGACAGTAACAAATCACTTAATAGCAGTATTGACTTACTGGGTTCAATGGGGACTCTTGATAGGAAAGTATCTTGGTAGCTGGACGGTAAACAAAATATGAATTATGAATAATATAATAATAATAATCATCATCATTATTTCAATCACAAAAGCACAAATTGTCAACACAATAACGCAGCAATAAAAGTGTCATGACTAACTCAAAGGAGACATTTTCCCGTCCGCTTCAAGACGTCGTCTTCTTCGGTTGACTCTTTCTACAAAAGAAAAAAAAAAGAAATAAGTCCTTGTAATGCTTTTTTTTATTCGCCATTATTGATTTGGAAAGACTAGAACATGAAATGTCATGCTTTCTTACTAGTAGTAAAAAATTATTGTGCACCTATGAATGTCTTGGCCCAACGGTGGACGTGCTGTCGCTTTGTTTAATGGTTGAATACATGTTCCATTTTTTTTAATTCACAAGGTGTAGAAGATCACAACATTGCAGGGGCGTATCCAGGGGGGTGCCCGTGACCCCCTTTTAAAGTCAAAAATAAGTGAAAACCATAGATTGATATGACATCATGTTGACTTCATATTACGTCACAGTGACAAATTGGTATGTAAGGACCCCCCAATAAAAATCCTGGACATGCCCATGCATTGATACTTCACTGGATGAGCAGGGGTCAAAATTTCAATGAATCCCTAACAAGGGTAAACCCTGTTTCAGTAAAAAAGGTCAAGTGTCCCAAGTCACATGTAATGTTTTATATAAGACAATTGATAGGTGCATATTAATATAGGAGGCACTACTTTGTATTCTAGAGGTAATATGCAATTTTCAATGCATCACTAATGACAACAGTTACTGCAAATATATGAGCATAGCCTGCGTAGCCAGGCGTTCCTAGCCACTCCAAGCCCAAATTGTCTCGGAGCAGCTAGGAACACCTGGCTACGCAGGCTAATATGACATAATATGGGCATAATTTAGAGCACCCTTAATGTACTGTCTGATGCCCATGTGAACTTCTTCTAGTTTGTAGAAGATGCATTTCAATGTGACTTTTCTTCAACGCCCTACCTGCACTATTCCTCAAATCCTCCTCAAAAGATCTGGGCTGCATGGATTTTGTCCTCCTTGCTTTCCCAGGCAGAAGTGGAGTGTGCATCTCTTCATCCAAAGTGACGGGAAACAGATCTTCTGAGACATGTTTTCCTGACTGTTTGCAACTATCAACCCAAAGTACATTCACAAGATGAACTCCCTTCTTGATAGCTTTATCACGAGTGGACTTCTTCCCATCTTTAAAAACCTTGAAAGGAAACATGACAAGGAATTGCTAATGGTATCCATTATGAATCAAATAATGTTCTTGACAAACATGATGGTTATTCCTACATTATATTACATTCAAAGATAAACATACCACGTGTGTCACCTCTGGGATGAATTTCTTAACTACCTAAAAGATGAAATACGTGAATAATGGTAAAATCATTTATCGACTTGATGCAGCCTCTTACAGCAACATTATGTACACTTACAACAGCACCAAGTAGCTCCATTTGTTTGCAGATTCCCTCAAACCTGTTCTCAGTGTTGGTTCGTACTTCTACATATGCAATAACACCTTAAAAATATGAACAAAAATATGAAATACTATAATTTTAAAATTCAACACAAGTTCCAGTTGCATCAAATACCTTGTAATACTGGTTTTTCTGTACTGTCTGATTGTGAGATTGGAAGAGACACATCTGACATATTCTCCTCATCACTTCCAAATGAACAATGGAAGTCAAATTCATCATTCTTTTTTTCTGCATTCTTTTTTTCTGTGTTCCTTTGCTTGCAAAGACTGTCAAAAACAGACTTTCCAGCACTCTCTTTGAGGACATCTTTGTAAAGACTTGAACTCTTCTTGGTGACAGGTGTTACAATTCCAGATGACAACTCCTAAACATAAACATATACCAAAAAGAAATTAAAGAAACAACTTTTTTTCTATCATCTCATATCTCTGCTTGTGAACAAGTACCATTAACATTGCCTGCTGTTCCGCCAGCTGGATTTTTTAGATGGACTTTGAGATATTAAACCTTGTTAATAATAATAATAATATTTATAATAATATTATAATAATTTTATGCTACTCAGATCACCCTGAAGATGGAGGATCATCTGAAAGCTTGGGCTTAGTTTTTTGTTAATAAAGTTTTGCTGGAGATACATAACTGCTTGTTTTAGTATGAAACTACTCAGCAACATAACTATTCTAAATATTAATAAAACTTCTATAGCACTTAGAGCACACACATGTAACTTTCCCCAAGCACTTAAAAAAGTAAAAATTAACATAAAAAGATAAAATAGAGATTGACAATGAAAATATAGTTATAGTCAGAGATCATAAGTTTGTTTAAATAATATAAGTTTTAACGGCAGCTTTAAAGTCATCCAGTGAAGAAATGTCTCTGACTGAACAGGCAAATTGTAAATGTTTAATGCTTAATTACAATCCATTGCTAATGCATGTATAAACAAGGTTAAACTATGTAACTTCTCTTTTTGGGTTTGAGCTTCCTTTGGTTGTTGGAAATAGGGCGAACTAGGGATCAGCCTGCCATTTTCTCCTACGCCAAATTTTTTTTAAAAGAGTTGATAAAAGATAAATAAAACTGTTGCTTTTCCACTTTGGAATTCAAATGTACGATTGGATAGATTTGTTACAATATAACTACATCTTTATGAGATCAAAGATCGCAAAATCTGTTGCAGGGGACAGGGAGCAGTGATTTGACTCTCAAAATTACCTCTCCTAGTGGGGTATACCAGGGCTTTAGTACAATATTAGACATTCCCTCAAGTCAAATGCTGCGCTGTTCCCTGGTAGTTGTTTGTGGGTCTTTCTACTGACTAGTGCATTACCACACAGTAACTACCAGAGATGAACTACCAAACTTGATTTAAGCTTAGATCATGTTTTGGAGGGCTCAATGCAGGCCTACAATCAACTCTTTCAGATAATCCAAGAGTCTCAACATTTTGGATCCTATCTATTTTTGGCATTCAAGAAATATAAACAATGCCAAGGTATGAAACGATGCCAAGGTATGAAATTAACAGTTGACAAATTGTATAATACTTGGCGGGCAAGTTTGAACATGTACAAGACGTTCGTTCGTAGGCCGGGGGATCGGAGTAGGTACCCTGTTATATTTTAGATGAATCTTATTTTAACTTACATTCAAAATCTATGAAAGTTTACAAAATATGTAATAAACTTACCGTTAATAAGTAAAGTTAAGTCAATTGATTTTTACTTTAATCTTTAATATCATGGATTTTATCGAGCTTAAGTTTTATCTACTCACCGATTTGTCGTTCAATTTCTTCTTCTTTGAATTCAAACTCAATCCTTTTCTTTTTTCCATAGCATTAAGAAACCAAAGAAAAACTTTTCTTACCACAAAATTTCATAAAAACCAAGAAATAAAGTAAAGATACGAACGATGAACGCGAACCATGTTTGACAAAACCCAACAAACTCAACAGATTTCGAATCAGCGCGCCCGATTTGGTCACGTGATAGTGACACAGGGATACCGATCTAGTTGCAGTCGGACGAGCATTCAATCGCAAACCATTGTGAAATTCCTCAGTGAAATTGGAATTTCACTTTGCTCGATTCAATATTTCTATGAACCGGTTGCTGTTCACAAAACTATCACAAAACTGACAAAAATAAATCAGTTCGTTGTTCTCCGGGGCATAACGCGACATTTTATAACCAAACAAACGACTACAAGTCAACAGTGTAACTTTATTTTTATTCATATTCATGCAGTTTACATTATTATTAATTAATTGCAGACATTAAATGACATAGATCTACCCTTCTCCAAAAATGGTTGCGGTGACTATTTTCAGAAGACAAAATTATCCTGATGCTAAAAGATTATGCTTCATGCTCAGAAATGGTTTAAAAATCTAGTCCAATAAAAATCCGTACGAATAGATCTTTACATGTAATCAGTGGAATTCACGTCATTTTGCCGTTGCAGCAGCAGCCATTTTTGGAAAAGTGTTTATATTGCTATTGTGCAAGTGTGCATGACACGGATATGAGAATTTCTGAGCAACTTAAAAAGTCTTCATCGATATTAACAGAAGTCGAATCAACAGAGCAGCACATTTTTTACCGATTTAAAGCACAGGTCGAAAATTAAGATAATAATTTCATCAGTGTTCAGGTTTGACTAATTGACTCTTATTCAAGCATTTTACATGTAATATCCCGTGCAACATGTGCAACAAAAATAATGAAAAACTGCTCAAATGTGTGTCGAACATGTACCCCTGACGTGAGTTCTACTCTACAATAATTGCATATAATATGTACATGTAATAATCTGAATATTTTCCCGTGAATTAATCATCTATTTTGGGACTATGTCCCGAGTAATAATAAATATTTATTAAATATTATACAATTCCCATGTGAGGAAGACGTAATTTCTGCGTAATTGTATTGTTACAGGGAAGTAGTCAAGTTTTTTTACACAGTGAAGACTAAGCCAGAGGGTAGGCATAGTAACTTTTCTGACCTCAAAAATGCAGGGATAGATCCTCACTTGATTAAATAAATTAGAAAGACTTCACATAATTTACAAATAATGTTATGTCAGACTTCAATCAAGAGTATAATAATCATATAAGTATAAACTTATCTGCTATGATAGACTAATCATTCCAGTCATCACTGATTTGGTGAGCATTGTTGTTGTTTGTTTTGACGCACTTGTAAGCTTTATTTTTATAATCTTRAACTTAAAATGAGATAAAGAGAAAAGTGGCATACGACTCCTAACACGTGTCTCCAGTTCTAAAACACCTACTAGCAACTTCTCAGCAACTCCTGAAAAAAAGGAATTGCCTGAAAAATAAAGGTTTGCAAAGCCGGCTCCGCTGGTATATATATATATAATATAGATCCTCGTCTTCATTCAAATCAAACCGATCCGGGACTTGTATAATCATAAAGTTCTCTATTTCATCTTGTAATATATATTATCGATTCAATTCCTGTCATTCATTTTCTTTGTACAAATATCAATATCGCGGTTAAGTATAACATAAAATCTTTTTCTATATATAGAACTCTTTAAAACCATAAAATGCAATACAGTATTTTGTCAGTTCTCTCAATCGTTGATTCGATCCAGCGAGCAACAGCAAGAACACAACCATTCTGAAACTTAAAAAAGGTGTAGTGTAGTCTCTACCTGCTCGATAGCTTACTATTTGCGGAATTCTTCTTTGCATCAGTAGGCGAGGCAGCGTCGTCTTGCGATGGGTTTTCACCGCTATCTGATATATTTTGGTCAGTTGGATTCTCATCGACTGATTGCACGCTATTTTTCCTATTATCTTCTGTTTGTTTTTCTTCTTCTTTCTCCCGCTTTTCTTCTTCTGCTTTTTCTTTATTCTCTTCTTTTTCGCTGGTTGGAGTTGCGGCTTTTTCATCCTTGCTGTCTGTATCAGACTGCTTGGTTTCATCGTCACTACCCTCTCCTTTGTTCTTTGCTTCTTCTTTTTGTTTGGAAACCCGTTCTGACCAAAGTCGCAGATTTTTCCTGGAAAGAGAAAACTCATATTTTTCCACTCTTTTTTACCAAGTATTTTAATGTACTTATTTCATTGCTTGTAGAAAAGAAAAACTTTATAATCTGGAAACACTAAAATATATTCCACAACATAAAGTGATATATCCTTTATCCTGCAAATATCCATATAATAAATAGAGGATATTACATGGTCGCGCGGAGATACGGATTTTATATTCGAGTGTTGAAAAGATCTCTCACGAGTAAGCGTGGTTCATAGATAATTATATGATAAATTGATAAATCTTTTCGAACAATGTAGTATTATACATCTTCCTGGAAATCTCTCGATCACATGTCAACATCGACTTACTTTCCGCCTTCAACAAGACATTTTGTTCCTGGGATGATCTTAGCAAGCAGCTCGTAACATGGTAAACAAATCCCTACCAAGAAACCAACCTAGTGGGAAAATACAAATATAAAAAAATAAAGTTCTAATATCATTTTTCTTTTATTGCTAATATGACCAATGTCGACAGTTAGATTTTGAATTTTATTCGTTGTTTAAAGTTTTGACCGCCAGGTAGCTCTATTCGGCCTTCGTGCAACCGGTCACAGAGCCTTGAGGCTTGTAGGGATCGCAGTAGAAACATGGAGTTAACCTCTCCTTGTTACTAAGTCAAGCAGAACCATCAATATATTTATAAGAGGAAAAAAGAAATATCTTCTGCACGCACAATCTGTGGCCAACTGACTAAATATTTTCTATCCAATATTTATTATATTTTTCGTACTTCCCATATGTCACATTACGTGCTGTTGATTTTCTCTTTTTTTCAATTACAGTTCCATTTTCTATATATCAACATTACCCAACCATCTAAATGTCAAAACTACTGTCTACAAAAACAGCTCTTAAGTTGTTGTTTCTGTTGTTGTTGTTGTTGTAGCTGCTGCTGCTGTTGTTGTTGTCGTTGTTGCTGCTTTGGTTGTTGTTGTTGCTGTTGTTGTTGTTGTTGTTGTTGCTGTTGTTGTTGTTGTTGTTGTTGCTGTTGTTGTTGTTGTTGTTGTTGTTGTTGTTGTTGTTGCTGTTGTTGTTAGGGTGCTCGGTAAGTATTACCTGATGTGCAGGGACTTCTAATGCTGTGCTGCGGTCCTTCATAGGGATTGGTTGCTTTCCTTGAGCTTTTTCTAAATCACCCTTAAAAATGAATACAATGGAAAAGTTGCACAAACTGCAGTTGCAAATGAAGTACACGCATTGCCTTTGTTTTCTGGTTGATTCCTATTATTTTCTTACTTTTTATAATACTATAGTATATTAATTTTCTATACGTATTATTTGCATGTTTGCTGTCTGGTTTATTTGTTGTTACTTTGCGTACAGTCTCCCTTAAACGAAACCAGAGGAGACTGTTCGCAGAGTAAATATTCGTCTGTTGTTCTACTGTTTATTGCTTGTACCTCAGCGTAGAATTCCTGGTAAATGACCTTGACAATCTCATACTGGATATTCCATGGTTTTGTACAGGCAGATAAGTCACATCCAGTCATACAGATTGCTCTTAGAAGACGCCTAAACAAAACACCACACACTGTCAATGGTTTACATCCCACAAAATAAAATTCACAGAGTAGGACCTCCTGTTTACTTCATGTCTTCGGATTTTCCTTTATAGTCTTCCTTAAGGCCCATTTACACTTGCGATTTTTGCAGTGCGATAATCGCCACTTTGCTATATCGCTCAACTCAAATCGTAAGTGCCTGAAAAAGCCTTGAGATTGATCCCCGCGAGAATCGCTCTGCAAAAATCGCAAGTGTAAACTGGCCTTTAAACGATCCAAAAACAGTTTATGCTGGCAAAGGATTTTCTTGAAAAAAATAAAAGTGTGCAGATAAGAAGTGCATCCTCTGGTCTACCCTCAGCCTCGCTTCCGCGGGGCTCTTGAATAAGCAAGAATACAAATTAACAATTTTTAAAATCATTAAGCAGAAACGATTGATCACTGCATAAGATCAGACAGTCTCCACACGTTGACAATTTGACAGATGTTTGCATCCAAAATCCTTTTGTTCATAGTACAAGTGTCGTCCATATTTCGTAGAGTCAGATGGACATCAAGTTTATAGTAAGTTATGAGCGACAATAACAAACCTGTGTTCTTGATCCTCCCATGAAAATGTTCCTTTGTCTACCAGATCTTTAAGCTTGGCTTTGTTTCCAAAGAACAGCGCCAGATCTGTAGCAAGAATACATTCTTTCATGAAGCCAAGGACTGCCTTGTACTCGGTGGAGTTGAGATGAGAAAATATATTGTGTCCTTCATGCTGTAACGCCAAACAACAGAAACTTAATTTCAGCGTAAATAGAAATATCAGTATTATGGCTAAGTCATATAGTCTCGTTAATTGCTCTCCCCGCCATCTTGATAGGCGAAAGGACAGCTAGCGTTGTTGCGGTCTGTGGGAAGCGATAGATCTTGATATACACCCTTTTAATAAGTCCCGAGTTATTGTGTTCTCCGCACTTGACGTCAAATTTATTCTTTTGAAAAAGGAATTCAAAAGAATAAATTTGACGTCAAGTGCGGAAAAAGGAATTCAAAAGAATAAATTTGACGTCAAGTGCGGAGAACACAATACCTTGGGACTTATTAAAAGGGTGTATACAGGCCAAAGATGGGTAATTCATAGATGAGGAACATCGCTCATTCACCCTCCCATAAACAAATCATTCGCCTACCTGCAGTATGGTAATAGTTTGATTAAAATGGTGATGTTCCATGGTAGAAGTACTATACACTGCAGCCAGGGGGGTGCCTTCGTTTTTCATCCACGAATTGGTTCGACCACGGTGGTCCAGATCATGACAAAGACATGCGAAAAACATCGCAAGGGCCTAAGAAACACAAAACTCGTATTTTAAGCATTTCTACTAGTAACTCTAATCCATGAAAGAAAAAAAGGTCAAAGTACATCTGTGCCGGGAGGAGGTGGGGCGTGGCATGTAGGGGGGTCACTCTAAATGGTTGACGTAAAGGGTTTACCCACCTCTAGCCCTGAGAAATTGTTGTGTCCAGATCGTATGACCAGGTACATACAGTGAGCAACAGCAAACGCGTGCGTCCAGTTATGATAAGGTACACGACGGTAGTTTTTGCGTACAGTCAACACGAAACGATACAATTCATCATTATCAAACCTGAAATATTGAACATAGGAAATACCACATCATCTCTAAGTATAGGAGGAAACCATTGAAACAAACAGTGGTACAAGACAGCTTTAGAACTTGTTCAGACGTCGAACTTTACCCGAGTAGTGCTTAGTAAGATTTAGTTATAATTTACCTGGCTGGGATAACTTTGAAATATAGAGGGGGTATTCAGCTAAGTCATTTGTCATACTTACTAGGAAAGTTAGACGTGCGAACGAAGCTGACATTACAAATACAGCAGTCTTTGTCGTCGTTACTAGCGTCAACTACATCATTACCAACGATCATCACAACATGCCCATATATCATCATCATCATCATCATCATTATCATGTAATTCATCCATATGCAAAACACGTAAGAAACGTAAAAGCATTCAAAACCAAAAGCAGCATAACGGCAAGGCATTTTAGGCATGCAGTACTTTCTATAATAACATATTAACATCGAGTTCAGTTTATAAATAGTTTTACAATAATAAAACCCACCGCAGAGCTGAAACCCATGTTTTCTGCGACCTTTTTAAAAACAATCATTACCATTATCACCATGTACTATGAATAAATACTAATAAAACATAATCAGTTTCACCACAGCAATTACCATCGCGTCCAACAAGACTAGTATTCCCTGCCAGAGTAATAGAACAGAACACAGATAGATTTAAAGTTTATCTGGATTTAGCCACTGGTTGCTATGCACATTTCGCAATTGAAAAGCAATGTTCGCTTGTAATGGTCTATTACCAGGGAGAATACCAACGCAATGACAGTAGTAACGACGACGACTTCACATGGTTGAATACAACAATGATACAGCAACAATCATCGCACGAAACAAAGAAGATCTACTCAAAAGCGACAAAATTGAGAGACAGGGACAATACTGAAAGCAGAGAAATCTGTAATAGACAGCAACATCAACAGCAAATTTTAAAGATACTTTCCATAATTTCATAAAAACATCACTGAACAACAGCAGTAGCAACAACAACAACAACTGAAAGCAACAGCAACAACAAGATCAAAGCTTTTGATTACCTGGACAATGAAAACAGGTTTCTGGTCATGTCAATAACAAGTTTCGGCATCATTTGATTTTCGAGACTGTACGAATCAAAGTCATACCTGGTATTATAACAAGACTATTGTTAGCCATATTTAGACCAACGCCGTGACATATGACATTATATTGTAGTGACCAGCAACCATCACTTACGATTCTAGTTTAGGGAAAGGATCCATGGTGTCAAGATCTTTCAACGATTTCACTTCATTTTCAGAGCATTTACTGTGATAGGACAAGACTTCCAAAGCAACCTGAAATGACAAAACATTCTTTTTATGATAAAGAACTCAATCAAATGTTGAAAAAGAAAACACGGTTATTCTGCTTCGCGAATGCCGCAAAAGGAATAGAAAAACGAAGCGTATTATGAAGAGCGAAACGTAGTTGATCGGTTTGTTCTATGATATTGTATGGTGAGTATTGTTACAAAACAAAGCTCAATGGTAGATTTGATTCTACTCTTTGTTGACATCAAAGAAATCTTATCTCAACAATTCTAATGATGATATGAATCATAAAATTTTACCAGTGAGAAATGCAAATCCTTAGTTAGTAAGAGAGAAATCTTTTCGCTCAACTAAAAGAGATATAATTGTCATAGATACTCACCCGATGTTTTTGTTCAGATCTCCTAATCTTGTCATAGAGCTAAAATGAAATATCATATAAAGAATTAACCACTGCACATCCTTTACAATATTATCGAGGGTACCAATATTTCAGTTTCCTTTGGATTGTCGTTTTGCTGAATTCCTTACCTTTGCATGATGGAGTGCAAGTCCACAATAAATTGCAAAAGTTTGAAAAGATTTCTCATCTAAAAACAAAATAAAAAAATAACTAAAACAATTGAATTCTTTAATATAGCGGTACTTCCTTCATCGTCGCGCAGTTTAAGTCGGCAGTTAAGTCCTTAATCTTTAAGAAGTTTCGTATTAGAAATATGCACCCAGAATTGCGGATACTGTATGGAAAACAGCATCTGCGCTGAAAATGGCACAAGTTTTCTACTTCTCCGCCAAGATAAAAGCGAACCGCTTCAGCTTCACGTCCGTCAAGCCAAAGAACAGCAAAAATTACAATGGACTATTGTTACGTAGATGCGCGTGAAGTTGTTTTAGCCAATAGAAATAGAGAACGCAAAAAAATATGGCATGCGCATGTCAAAAGGTGACGTCATACAAGTTTAACGCGCGCAAAGGGAGACACACCTTGAACATCGTGAGTGACATAGATCTTACCTGAAGCAGTGAATACACCTGATTTTTTGTTGACCATCTGAACGACACCAATAATACTAGAACAGAAAAAAAGCCGTCCTTTAAGTGATGCCAAACAATATTCTGATAATATTGAATCTTGCAGTAATTTGAAATTATCGCGACAGCAGTAGGCGTTCCGGCACTTCAGACTGAAAATGTTTTTGAACCAGCATTGTGCAACAGACGACTTAGGTATACGCGGGCGCTTTCAAAAATATCGCAGGTAAGGCACACATGAAGACTAAGTATTTACGAGCAGATGTTCCGAATCTCGCTTTTATTTTTGCCGAAAAAGCCTCGTTTTCAAGCGCGCGCCTGCGATATTTATGAAAGCGCCCGCTTATCCCGGAAATTGCCTATTTCGCACTAGCACTAGAAGTGAATCAACCACTAAATAGGCTGTATATATAGAATATGATGTCATACCTTCCTCTGATGAAGATTGGCATACAAAGAAGAGTACGTGTTGTATAACCAGTCTGAATGTCAATTTCCCTACCAAACAAAAGAAAACCATAGAATTATCTACTGTGAAGTTGAATACGTTTTCATCAGCACAAATGACCTTTTAAAACGTCGAATCTCACACGTGCTGAAGTTAATGCAAATAAGATGATGACAGAAACAGAAAGCAGAAACAAAAGTATTACAAGATTAATTAGCATTGAGATTAGTAATTGTGAGATTTGCCTTTTGAATACTAGTTATCAGTTTGGCCTAAAAGTACATTGTAATAACCTGTTGAATCTCTCGTCATGATAAGCATCTGTGATGTTAAGTGTTTCGCCTGTCGTAGCGACGTAACCAGCCACACCCTTTGTCTTGGGGAATCTAAACAACAAGAGAAAGTTTGCATTAAAAAATCAAGCCATCACTTATATTAAACTTGTTGTTATCAGCGCGTAGCGATACCAGATGTCCGTTCACAAAAAAATCGTTCAGAATCGATGACAAGTTAGTTCCGGCAATATGGCGTTCTGCCACAATTACACTGTCATGATAATGTTTTATTCATTAAAGATATTTTTCGTCGGTTTTCATTGTCGTTTTCCGTGATCTCCCATCGATCCCATGTGTTTCTAACAGACAATGGGAACACAAAAAACTTGTAATGCTTTTTATAAAGCAACTCCAATTCTTCTCTTGAAAGCTGTGTTTCTGTGCTCATATAGAAAAACGATTTTTTGCGCATTTCAACATTCAGTGCGCGCGTTTAATATATAACATATTTTTTTGACAACAAAATGTAAAAGAGGTCAGTGAGCAAATTTTCAATGAAGAAGAATATTTTTCACCCACCTTATTTCTTTCTGTAACTTGGAGGACTTGCTGTCCTCTAGGCTGCCACCGATGTCAAATATTCTAGCATATAATTCGTTAGTTTTGTTATCAACCAAGAAAAGCGATGTCCTGTCAGCGTCCACCAGTGTTTGAGCGTAATTCTATGAAAACAAATAATAAAGTAGAGTCAGAAATCATCGTAGTGTAGGAGATGATTGACTGTATTAAGATAGAATGAGTAGAGATAACAGAAAAAGTGAATGGAAACTGTGCGCACTTCATTTCAGAGCATTCATTCCTCTTGTTCAGTGTCAAGAAAGTACTAAAAATAATGGTCTGACGGCCTGGGTACGAATCGATAATGTAAGAGCGCAGGACTGTCAGAGCGCAGCTCTACAATGAGAAAGATCACATACGCGCACCTAGGACGAATCAACACGTTTTCCATTTTGCCAGACCAAGGTTTTGTCGTACTACGATAAATAATAGTTTGATCAGAATTCTATTCTGATGATCAAACTATTGCCAAATAATTTTGTATGCATACCATAATTTTCATGATGACGGTATCCATGCTGACAATATCTTGGAAAATCGATCTAAAAACGACAGCGATTCAAGTTAGTATGGATATGGTACATGTCCATTCTCAAACCGCCTAAAAATGTTACCATATATCGGTAATAATTCACTGCTATAGAACCACCCTTGGGAAAGAGGAAACGGGGTTTTGGGGATCTTTATATACGAAAAGACAATTCTGAAGGGTGTGTTGGAAATTGCTACTGGAGGCTACTGGGATTTGAATTTGTTTGAGCAGAGGAAATAAGCTTTTATTTCAATTTCGTTGTGGAAACAGTGCGGACGAGTCTTTTACGATGGAATGAAGCCATCAGCCATCGAAAAAGCATGCGTTTGTACAATCATTGTATGATGATTAGGCCCCACCCACCATTCCTATCCCCCTTCCCTCCCCTCCCCCCTACAGTGAGAGATGATTTCGCGATGCTCCACCCTCCCCCCCAGCATATGAAACATTTTAGTCTCTTCTCTGGTCATCCAAAGGTGAAGCCTTGTATTACCTTGTGACATTAAGAAGAAACTCGGTGAGTTTTCGGTGTTTGTGCATGTGGTGGTACATCTACAAAAACAAAGTGTTGCAGCTTTCAGCTGTTGTACCGTGTGCCAACAAAGTACAGACATGTTGTCTCTGAGTATATTACTGAGTAAATAGCACATTAAGTTGGATATGCTCGCCTAATAAACCCCAATGTCAAACGTCGGCCACGTCGGATGCACTTAAAAATGGATTTAAAAATGTATTATTTGATGACATGAAACTTTTTGTGAGCTTTCTTTGCCTTTTACATGTACATGTATGTATGTGTTATTTCACCAGTTTGCATCTTTAAAAAATAGTTAGAAAACACTTTTTTAAAGTGATTTAAAGTAAAAGAAAAACATCACGTTGTACATGTACTACTTTCTGAGACATGCCTTGTCCAAATCATTTAGCTACAAGAAAATAGTGTTTGTCTTGCTATTAGAAGAAATAAGATGTCATAAGCCGCTGTGTCAACAACGTTCTCCCATAACTGTTCCCGCTAATAAACGACACGGCTCAATTTGTCAAACTTCATGAACTACACTCAGTCAATATTTGCAAGGGTTAAGTCAACAACTCGTGTTTTAATTCCCTTAAATCGATATTTGTAATGATAGCGATATGTTGATAGTCCAAGGAGTGCTTTATTTGATAATAAACGCCCAGTTTAATATTGTAATTGTAAGTTTGAACGCTGGCAGAACATGATGACATTGCTATGGACAGTGAGGCTTGCTGAGTGCAACGATAACAGATTTTACGATATACATGTACTTCTCTCTTCAGAAGTACCTTTACATTAAGAAAACCTGTAACAACTCTAGTACAAGTATCTCTATTACGGGCACCTCTGAAACAACACTAAACTTAAGAACACCCGCCATACCATGAAGTAATTGTAAACACGTCTATATTACAGACAGTCTCACAATACTGTTATACTGTACCTCAGCGTAATACAAGGATATTCCTCCCCATACTAAGTAGCTGTTGACGATCTGAAAATGCCAGAAAATCAAAGTAAATTGAAATACTGGAAAAGACAAGGGGAAAGAAAAGTGAATGAGAGGTCGAATGAATTGGTAGAGTGGGATGAATTGATGTCGTTGGTGGATTGATGCTGGATGGACAGACAGAATGAATTGGTTAAATGTATGGTTAATTAAATGTATGGATAAATGTGCAATGGATGGAGCTGCAATGATGCAGGTGATGCAGGTGCAATTTATGCAAAGTCTCTGAGTGGCTACCTCTTCATCTTCTTCGTCAAACGGATCACGGCCAACTGTCCGCGTCAGTTCAATTGTTCCTACAAATATATGTTACATAATAAGTATTTGTTAACTGCAGTGATGATTCTCGACGTGTTCAAGTACATCTCTCAATCCAACTGTAAATTCCCTTTCTTTCTTCTTTCCAACAATGTCAATATTACAGTCAAAAGACATGAAGCGTACCCCCAGAATATTTCGTTATTCAATGCACTATTGGATTTTTCATTTTATTTTTCGTTTTCAGTTGATTAATGCAAAATTAAATTCAAATCTCAAACTCTGATAATGACAGAAAACAACCACAGCACTTCCAGCTTTTTGAGACCGTCATTGCTTTCTCACGAGAAGGAACAGATCCAACCAAATTAACAAACAGCATATTGCAATGCATCGACTTGTGAAAATTACAAAAGAACAGCATGTTTACAAGCGAAATACGAAGAAGGCTTTATGAAAATCCGAACAATCATCCAATCAAATTTGGAAGTTTGAATTCAAATTTGATTTCAATAATGAAATGTTGAATCGACCAAGAATAGAATAATGAAATGAATATATAATGGTGTTTTGAGGGGGACGCTTCATGTCTTCTGACTGTAATTAAGTTACAATGTATTGAATGTCCTTGGTTCCATTAGCCCAACCACTCCTCCCTTCAATTAAACATGATAAATAGTTGACTCTGACTTTGTTTTTTTACAATACCTTCCTTGAGATATTTCTCTTACCTACAAGATCCCCATTTGACTGCACAATTGGCTGACACAAAACAGACTGTGCTGTTGTACCTTGCAAAGAAAATACATCATTGAGATGAACGGTACTGGATCGTGACCAAAGCAAGCAGCAAAGCAATGTACTGTATAACATACACTTACCATCAACTCCTATTCCTTGAGGGAATCTTTCATCCTTTGAAAACAAGCACAAGGCACTGTGAATATAGACTGCAGACTGGTTGATTCACTCACTGATACAAATCACTAACTGACAGTGCCTTCCCTGTTTCCCAAAGAACYCACTTACCCCAAAGATATCATTGGTGCGGACTGGTTTCAATGTATGTGCCACATATGCAGCAATGGTTGTCTTTTCTTGTATTTTGATGGCTGCAGAGGTTTTTCTGTGAACAAGAACCAGTTTGAAAATTGATTTTTTTTATCTAATATTTTTGCTGAATGAGCAGAGCAAGGCTGATTGATTGTAACCAACCATTTCCGCTCCTTCTTGAAACCTGAGTTAATATGCAAAAGTAATAACTTACCCTTCAGGCAAGTTTGGATTGTGGATATACAGATCCTGAAAAAAAACATGAGTTCATTTATTATAAGCTTCCAATCTTCTGGATGAAATTAGATAAACTATGATCAGTGTGGGCTGCAATACTGAGGGTGGACATGGCTAGGGTTGTGTGGGGTTGTAATTCCATCAAACAAAGTAAGATACAAACAAAAGAGTGGCAGTAACATCTAATAATATTATAAAATAAWGAATAATACCAAGAATAGTAGAGGTAAACATTTCTTCTTGCTTATWGACTGGGTGTCTTGACTGTGTTTTACCATATATTATTTCATATAGATTTAACAAGTAAATCAAACCAAACTCACCTGGCCATTTGAATCTACCAGGTAAAGTACAAAACCATCTGCATGGCATGCTGTAGACAGACCAATCAGCTTATATTATTATTATCTAAGAACAGTACTATAAAATGGTGCATGTGTCTCTGTCCTCTGATATAAACATGGGGGAGTTGAAAACACAAGAGAAGCAAGCTTAGAAACACTAGCATCATAGGAAGTGTTTCCCTTGCTTCTTGAGTGCTTCTAGTCTCAACTCCCACCGTGTTTATATCCTCAGAAAAAAATGTTCTGCGTTTTTCTTTGCTGGTAATTAGCCATGTCTCTGTCCTCTGATATAAACACAGTCGTCAAATGTTTTATAAGACCTCTTACAGAAAATCATTTCTTACATAATGCAATGCAAGGATATTAAACACTTTATAAAACTTGCTTCACAGTTAATCATAGCCCACAATGATCAGCTTTAATTTGGAGACATAATGTTTTGATAATTGCCTTGATTTGAGACCTAATGGTTTTTTTTTTGAAATGCACAAAGATAATTAATGGCATTTTTCCAAGTAATAATGTAATTACAATTCAACCCTAATTAAATTATAAGTTACAAAAATTCAGCTCCTTATACTACTTTTTAAGCAGTAGAGTTTATTCTGAATTGTCATTTGATACAAATATAAGTGTTAACAAAGTGAAAAGRCAACCTTTGGTTCACATTTTGAATAATAATGAAAATAGGACATCAGTCATAAACTTGAAACAGTTTGAAACAAGAAACCGATCAGTAGGAAAAGGAAGTGCATACTTAAAGTAAGTACACCTACTGAGTTTGAGCATGTTGGGATAAATATAATTACACAGTAGCAAGCCTTTGAAGTCAAAAAAATAACAAGAAATAATGTATGGAGCTTTAGGATTCTCTCTTATTTTTCCAAATTTCAAACAACGGTGTATTCAACCGCAAATAGGCTCAAACCTAAAAAAGTCACTTATAGGTCAAACTGTTCTGAAAAAGGATTTATATAGTCTGTGTATATATGGGTCACAAGCATAAATACAGCCTTAATTTCACAAAAGTAGCCRTCCCAGTTAAGGTCAAAATAGATGGCAGCATCTAATGAAATCTCTGCTCATTCCCAAGCTGGATCCTCTTGATTTTTGAAGCCCCAAGGGGAATTTMTTATGAGCAGCATATTTAGTCAGAAATGCAAAGTCATCAATCTCTTCCAAATACACTTTCAATATTGAATGCAAATTTCAAAATKTTAAGTTTATAGACCTCTTGCAGTTCACTTGAATGCAGGATCTAACTGGAGGACATGAAACAATGGATTACTAAAGTTCCCAAGAGAGCAAAAAAATCTTTTGTTTTCMCCACCAGATAAAGCAGCTTTGACGTCACAATTTTGCAAGGTGTCTATTAAAATCAGACT